AAACGACCGTAGGAAACGTTTAGCGCTGTCGCGTGGGACCGCCAGCTTTTCTGTAAAGTACGACTTGCTAGTCGTTTGGCGTCTCTGGACACGAAGTAGAGTCGGATCAGGACCGACGTGTGCGATGTGAATGCGGTGCGGTCTACGATTGCGACCTGCAAAGATGCCGCGGTAGGTTCGCGGAGGACAGTCCAAATGGTCGGGGAGGTATCGTAATCGGCCACGTTCAGAGTAGACTGTGTGGTACTCTGGCATAGCGACGATGCGTTAGTGAGGTCAAGGGCAGGACGGGAGAACGATCAAGGTGTTGAGCAAAGGCATGCAGCGCGCCGAGTCTTATACAAGGTGTAATTGTAGAGGTCGAGAACAATTTGGCTTGTACAACTCCTCAGAGTCATGAGAGGGGTACAAAAGCTTCTTGGACTAGGTAACCCAACCAGGTTCCATGTGGATGCTTTGGGAAGGGACGATGAGGTTGGGCGCTACTAGACAAAGGGCCCGAACGCGGTGAAGGGGGAGATGAGACAAGGACTCACAGAGGGAGACAGGGTATCAAAAAGTTTGGTGAGGCTACCTAGTCAATGATGTGTAAATGCGATCAGCACGACAGGCCACTGTAGTGTTGTGGAGCGGTGAGGTTGCCGGTGCGTCGGAAGCGTGCGGGAATACCCTGTTTGGAGCGACTGCGCTGGCGACGAGGGGAGGTTTCTGGTCAGGACAACAACGGCGAGTAACAGGGACTTGCGGGTGTTTTGAAGTGAGTTGCAGCTAGCCGACTTGCAAGCATGTTACGAGGACGCGAGCATGTCAGACTAAGTCAGTGCAGGGACGGCGAAAGTGTACCGGCGTCGAGTGCAGGGAACAGGACGGATGACGCGGACGGTGTGCAGTGCTGCTGGTCGGCGGGGTCGCAGCAGCTGGGATGGTGGATTTGAGATGTTGCTTAGCAGAATTGTGAAAGTGGAGAAGGCAGCGGTGCCAGATGGGGCAAGGAAACGTTCATGAGCACGTCAAGCAGCGTAACAGACGAGTATTCCCGCAGCGGGTATATGAAGTGCTAGCTACTAGGAGCGCTATGGGAGCGTAGCTTGCGCGGACGGAGGCTCGGATGCATTACATCATCTTGAGCACCAAGAGTTTGCAGGACTCGATGCAGGGGTGAGATCTCAATGGGCATCTACTAAGACGTGCTTCTAGACCCGTTGGCGGATAGCGACCGACTACGGGATACCCGGCACGGTACTTTGATCGACGACGACATGGCAGGCTTCCTCCCACGACTAAGCCCGCACGGATGAGATTACATCTATGTAGGCGAGCACGAGCACGCGCTCATGGAGAGTGACGGGATCGCTTAGACCCCAAGCTCCATAGCCACGCTGTCCCTGGGCAACGCGCAATCTCTCAAGTGTCAAGAAAGACCAAGCGATTGATGCCCTCTGGCTGTGCATGGACGGCGGGCGCCTGTGCCTTGATTTTGCAATATTGGAGCAGTTTGATAGAGCATGCCCGGGCATCCTGCGGCATAGCGCGACTGCAACCACACAAACAGGGCGTCAGCGCGTTGCGTCCAACGATCGCCGAAAAGAAAACAGCAGGCCCAATTGCGTAGGGATCAGCGCCTGGGGTTCTGAATCTGGAGTTGCAGCAATCGTGAGTGGGCGGATCGGCGCAGAGAGCAGGGCGGGCTGCCAACTCAGCCGCCCCCAAGCTCAAGGCCAGGAACGAAGCAGTCGTCATTCTGGCTGCGGTGGGTACTCGGCAGTGGAGGAGAAAGCTTTTTTTTTTCGTGGCATGTGGCGAGGTTCGGATCATCTGGGGATGGTCCAAGATGGGAAGCAAGGCGGACAGTGCGGAAGGAGTAGCGAGATGTGGCCGAGACATAGGGCTTCCACCGCCAGAACCCACGTGACCGCGAGTGTGGCTTCCCCGCAACGCGTGGGCAAGACGAGGCTTAGCCCAGACGCGCTTTCTTCGGCGTTAAGCACACGACACTGCGACTTTTGCAGGTGCCCGTCAGTGCCATGGATGCGAACGATGTAGGCTACGGTGCGTCTGACACGACCGCCATGCGTTGAACGCAATCGCTGACTCTATGTAGGGACAGCCCAACTGCCCCTTGCTGGGGCCATCCTCTGCTGCACCTCCATCGCCCCCGAGCAGCGCGTACGTCCACCAGTATCCTCACATCTCGCCCGCTCTGACAGCCGTATAGGCCAAACTCGCAGCCATTGGCGCGCAGATGGGCGCGACCATCAAGCTCGACCTCACGTCCGATGTAACCCACCTCATAGTTGGCAGCACCGACAGTGCCAAATACCGATATGTCGCCAAGTCGCGCGACGATGTCAAGGTCCTGTCCCCAGAATGGCTCGAGGCGCTGAGGGAGGTGTGGATGGCTGGCGACGACATTTTGGACATGGCCGCGCTGGAAAAGGAGTACCGCATGCCGACTCTCGCGGGACTGAAAATATGCCTCACTGGCTTCGACAACCGTACGTCGCCCGCTCTACGTACATGGGACGATACTGACCAATGCAGCTGAGCAACGGAAGCGCATCCAGGAGACTGTCGATGCCAACGGAGCCGAGTACCACGGCGATCTCACCAAGTCCGTCACCCACCTCATCGCCGCCGCACCATCGGGGAAGAAGTACGAACACGCCCTGAATTGGAGGATGAAGATTGTGGCGTTGGAATGGCTCGACCAAAGTCTAGAGAGGGGCATGGTGCTGGACGAGGCCCTCTACAACCCCACCATGCCCGTCCAGGAGCGAGGGAATGGTGCTTGGGATCGCAAACTGCCCGCCTCGCCCGCTCTGGGCAAGCGCACACGAGACGCAGAAACAAGCCAGGCTCTGAACCCTTTTCGCAGGAAGCTGCGTCGCTCGGCAAGCACCAAGGTAGGAAGCCAGAGTGATGCCTTCTGGGCAGGCATCACGGCGCCCAGTTTCGAGCGACAGCTAGACGAGGATGAGTGGACAGAGGACGTTGCTACTAAGCCAGATAGTACGCGTACAAGCACTCGTACACACACGCCAGCGGCCTCCATTCATGACAACGATACGCTTACCGAAGCGCAACTTGATGACCATGCAGACAGTCATGAACAACATTTGCCACCACAACCCAACGACGCGTCCCAACATGATGGAATTTTTGAGGGTCGCGTCGTATGCACTCATGGCTTCGATGTAGAAAAGGTTCGCCATTCTCCACCTCAGATTCTAGACCTCACTGACGTCTCCACTAGACAAACATTTTGCGGCAGCATCTCGAGAGCAACGGCGCGCACGTAATGCGCGTGGCTGATCTCAACAATGCCTCATCCGAAGATCTACGGCGAGGCTACTTTGTAATACCCCATGACGTTGAGGTCGATTTGACGGCACTTCCGGAGCGTGCCGGTTCACATCTCAATCTGGTCACTAATTGGTGGGTCGAGCGCTGTCTCTATGGAAAACGTCTAGTAGACCCCGCGAGTGATGTATTGAGTCGACCATTCCAAAAGCTTAGTATTAGTGGTAAGTTTGCGCATCACTGTTGGTTTATTGGTTGCTGACGTAGCCAGGGTTCTCTGGCCTGACCATCAACTCCACGGGCTTTTCCGGCATCGAGCTGCTGCATGTGACAAAAATTGTCACGCTTATGGGTACGGCTCCTGCTCCGCATCCATTGGAATGATCTGACAATCTTGACAGGCGCCTCGTACGATGAACAGCTATCTGCAAAGACCTCGGTTGTGATCTGCAACCCTCCTACCGTAAACACTCCGAAACTCAAATTCGCTACGGACAAGCGGATACCCGCAGTACATGCGAGATGGCTATGGGATTGTCTGAGCAGTAGTCGGCTGCAGTCGTATGCCGAATATCAGTTGAACACGCCAGCACCACCCCAGCCACAGAAGGCGAAGCAGAGATCTGAGCCCCAGGATAGTGCGCCTACTGCGCCGAGTCCTGAAGAGGAAAGCTTGGAGCTGCGTCAGAAGAAGCAACAGCCCACCAAGATCGTGACGAAGCCCCAGCGCCAACAACGGCTGCAACGGCCTGGTGCTCTTGCTCTCGCTCAATCAGCAAACACCGCACCTGCATCAGCAACAGAATCGGTGGCTAACGCTAATGACGATGCTGACAATGTAACCCATGATGACGAGTTTGCCATACATGGATTGGACGGTGCAGCATCGTACCCTCTCCAGGAAACCAGCGCCAACTCCCCACGTCGTCCATCAACATCTTCGAACGCTTCAAAACCATTCTCACGACCCCGGAGCTCATCCGCCGAGTCACTCATAGCTCCCGCACCCCGCAAGTCAAAGCTTGGTCAGAGCAACACTGCCCCAGATTGCGTAGTTCCTGATCCGGAACCCGACTCAGTGATTCCGGCAGGTACCGAACCGCCGGCTCCACAGGAGGCACCAAAAACAAAAGAGTCAATAAAGGAACCCAAACCAGAAGAAAAGGATTACTCTAGCATCTTAGCTCAGCTCCGCGCGAACCGCAAAACTGCGCCAACGTCAGTTGATCAAGCACCCGGCAAGACCCGTCAAAGACGGCAATTAGGTCGTGCCACGTCTACGCGATCCAATGCGTCGGCCGGTGACAGCTCCGGGAACCCACCGATTGAGGAGGAGAACGAGAGCACGGTGCTTGTAGAGGAGTACCAGCCTAGTCAGGAACTAGGTTGGGACTCTCCAGGTGCGGCCAAGGCCAGAGAACAGATGATCAGAAAGCTAGGTGGTACTGTACAAGATAAGAGTGTAGCAGTTGAAGGCATTGGGGTTGTGAAGGATGTAGGAGGTGCGACAGGAAGGGCAGTGAGGAAGAGAAGGGGATAAAGACTCCTGGCTGTATCTACATATAGTGCATGTACGAGGACTTGTTTTGGATTCCCCGCATTGCATGGCATGGCATGGCGCAAAGCATAGCGAGGTGTTTTGGTTAGGCAAAGGGCATAGTGTGGCGTTCGTAATACCATTCCAAGCATAATAGATCTTGTCATATCCCATACGTCACCTTCAACCTTCTTTCCAAGTGTCCCTTGGCTGTTATGATCTCCTCACCCAATCCATCCTCTCTTAGTCCCAGCCTCTTTCTCTGACTCCTCAATTCTTCCTCCCCTCTGTTGCCAAATCGCTCAATTGCCGGACTAGGCACAGCATCCAACCTCGCCTCGTCCAGCGGATGACAGAAATACGCCATACTGTACCTCTCTTGTCCACCCTCGAATGTAACACGATGGACAGTAGATTTCAACATTCCATTCGTCCAGTAACACAGCAAGTCACCTATGTTTACCAAGATAGGAGGATATTGGTTAGTCGATGGGGATGGATCCACAGGCACGGCTCTCCAACCTGAAGGCGTAGACAGCTCAAGACCGGGTTGGCCCGGGAGTCGGAAGAGAAGAGTGAGACTGCCATAGTCTGAATGTGCGCCTGCACGAATACTAGTTTCGCCTTGCTTGGACTCTTTTCCCTGGGATAAGGTTGGCGGGTAGTATAGCATGCGGAAGATGGTGCCGGACAGGCCAAGGGATTGGTCGTGGCGGGTGCTGAAGTAATGGGGATCGGGGATTTGTAGGGCGGTGTTGAGGAGAGAGAGTATGTTTGTGCAGAGGGCATGGCATGATGATTGGAAACGTGATATCAGTTCAGACGATTCTCGGAGTGGTGAAGGTAGGGGTTGAAGGGTTGGGTTGGGAGGTCCGATGTTGAAAGCTTCCTTTGGGTCGCCTTGCTGTTGATGCTTGTATCAACACTAGCTTTCTCTCTGTTTGTAATTTGACGAGACTTTACCTTTTGGCCTTGGGGATCTAGTGATTCGCCTTGCATTTGAACCCAACCCCGGTTTATGCCGCCAGCCTTTTCCGAGTGGATTGCGAATTCCGATTTGTGCTCCTTGGGGGCGGCGAAAAACCCTTGGGACTATACATATCGATGAATGAATCCGTTCTCGTCGGCGTGTTTGAGACGACTCACCACCTTGAACATGTCATCGATGTCTTGTGGTGGAATGGTCACACCGTCATTCTTGATGTAGAGAAAGCCATGGGTAGAAGCTGCGTCCAGTACCTGCTGAGCGACTGTCTCGGATGGCCTGGAGATGTCGATGACTGGTATGGGGCCTTGGTCGTTTTCGGGAGGAGACATATTGAATGACTGCGGATGTAAGGTGCGAAGGCCTGGAGGTGGGATAGGTGAGGGGCAGAGGTGAGGCGGGATTCAGGCACTAAGAGAGCTACAGAGGGAACAGAATCAGACGTCGGATATATCTGGATGCAGGCCACTCAACTCGAAGTGCCTGATGCGTCGTCCGAATATCCACTCGGCACAACTCCGTCTACTTGTATGCCCTAATGGCTTGTACCTGAGCTAGCGCCCGGCTGATCAGGGATTCGGTAGTCGCCAAGGCGTGGAGCTGCGTCGGAGCTTCCAATTTACTGCCCCAAACCCCCGCAACCACCGCTACGACATCAGTACACGTCGTCGCTACAGTATTCACCGTAGACGACTCTCACAGCATTACTCGGAGGCGCAACTCTGCTCTTATCCACTCATTACCACCCGTCATTACTACAGACTCGGCCACCAAGTCCACGCGCGACTGGCACCATGATCCGCGACTTCGTGCAATGGACGGCCGCATTCGGCGAGACGGGCGAGCTCGAACAGCTGCGCAACTGTCGCGTAGGCATTGAAGCCGCTGAGTACCTGAACCAGCGCATCCTCAACCACCCACGCGCAAAAGAACCGCTTGTCCCAGCCCTGGGCGGCCTTCCACTGGCCCTGACACAGCACATCCAGGACGACCTAGCCCACTTCCGCAGCTTCGACATCGAGCCCTACTTCGTCTTCAGCGGCCTGGACATCACAAAACAGGAAGATCCTTTCAGGCAGAAGACGGAAGAAGCAGCAGTGAATATCAATGCCTGGACTTTGTACGACAGCCACGAGGCCGAAGCCTCAGTCGCTAAATTCGGACAATCAAGTACGGCAACCGCTGTGAGAGGGCACTGTATACCCTACTGACTGCTCTTAGCCTACGTCACTCCCGAAGACCTCTTCCGTGCGCTACAGTCTACCCTGACCGAACAGAACATTCGCTGGACCGTTGCACCCTATAGCGCATGGGCCCAGGTTAGCAGTTTCCACATAGTCCATGGCAATGGCTAATTGTGTCTAGTTGGCATATCTCGAGAAGCACGAATATCTTCACGCCATCGCCGGATCGTCCGACATCCTCATCTTCGAGTGCGCCAAAATCATCACATCTTGGGACTTCGAATCCCGGCAGTTCAGCTTCATCCGCCGAGAGAAATGCGTGGCCGACCTGTCCAAGTTCGTCGGCGCTCCAAACATCTCAGACGACATCTTCCTCGACACATGCATACTCGCTGGCACGCCGTTCCTCCCAACCCACCCCATCCTCGATGCGCCTAACAGGGCTGAGCTGATCAAGCCGTACAGCGCCATCAAGACCATCATGAGCAATGGCCAGTCTGGATATTCTGTGGTCGTCAACAACAACGATGTTCCACCGGCAGGAAAAGAATATGTCACACGATACCAGAAAGCACGATTGGCCGTGAAGAACCACCCCGTCTACACGGAGGAAGGAAAGGTCGAGCCTCAAAACTCCGCGTCTATGCCCAATGATGCTGGTCAATATTTGGGTCAGAGACTCCCAGATGAGATCCTCCACTACATGTCGAAAGGCCTCATCAACCCACGTATACTTCAATGGCGTACTACCTGTCAAGTATTCGAAGTCCCCCCAATGGACGGTGGCAATTCCCCAGAGTACAAGGAACTCGTCAGCTCCAAACTCATTCCGCTGCGAACACCGGTCGTCAACCTTCTCTCCAGCTCTCTGCATAACTGGTACCGACACCAATCTCTCCATCAGACACATTGGTATTCGCCAGTAGACCCTAACGGTAAACGGCCGTCCACAACCATCCCTGTTGAGAAGCCATCGGAAGCACAGGCTCCTCTGATTGTTGACACCTGGAACGTAAAGGAAGCTACATTCAAGGATGTCATCGCGCAGTACAAGGTCAGTAGAGCTGTAGCTCAGTCACTGAAATAGTACTAACGCTTGCAATAGGATTGCGGAACTCTCGGTGCAGCCATTCTATCGCTACAAAACACTGATTTCGTTACCAAATCGATCGCTAAGAAAGACCCTAAAAGCCCGCTTTCGTCCACTTCCGAAATACTGTACAACTCAATATGGCGATTCCTTGCTCTACGGGAGTATGTTGATACAAAGACTCATAATCTGACACCTTGGGGTAAAGTCCTAGTTTCCGTCATAGAGGGTCTGAAGGGCAAGAAGGAGCACGAAGAAGCTGCGGTGATTGCAGTCGAGCTGGTACGGATGGGCCTCTTGACCTCCGATATCGACATGTTCTCTGCGTACAATGGTGCACCGATGCGTGGTAGCAGTAAGTACAACGAGCCTGACAGGATTTTGCACAACTGACAGCTACACAGCGAAAGATAAGAACTCGAACATGCTAGTGTCTCGTGTTGCTGGCCTGGGTATTCTCCACCACCGCCCGATTGGTTTTACCGGCCCTCTTAGTCAGCATCTACTTGGTTACAACTCTATTATCAACGTTGTTCGCCAGGCGCTCCGAGATCTGGTTGAGGTAGCAGCCACACAGATGTTCTGTACTGGTTGTTGCAATCGGCATGCTGAGATACCAGTCATTGCAATGAAGTTAGTAACCTAAACTGTTACTTATCTGCGTGTTATACTGACATCTCCTAGGCTACCTTTTCTACTCCCCAACAACTGTGCACTCAGTATAGCTGTCAAGTCATACCTCGATGAACTTCTCAGCAACGATGCCGATCCAACTGCCCCCGAAACCAAAGCACGCGTCGTTGAAACAGCATCATCACGCTACTTCCCGCAATCACTCAACCTCCCCGACGATCTCAAGTCAGCATTCTCACTATGGGATGCTATACATGCCGGCGTCAAGTCTTCAAACAACTCTACTATACCAGAAGCGACTAAGCAGCTATGGGCAGAGACAGACAGCTGGCTCTCTGAACGGCGATAGAACCGCAAAAAGCATCCCCACATGGGTCTGGCGATGGTAAGAGATGCTCTCGAGCTAAGTCGCTACCCCATGAGGGCTCAAGAAAATCGGCTTCTCGCCGTCACAGGTGCCTTGAGAGGTATGGAGTCTTGGTACGCCGCATACGAAAACAAAGTGGACGATATGCATGCCGTGTACAAGCTCCTCAAGACAGTCGACAAGCTGATGGATCGCCATCACGGAAGACGGAGATGTCGTGGTGTCCATAGGCCTAGTCTATGATACCGTAGAAGATAGCAATACTCAAACTCCATCGGATTCCTCAAGTCTTGCTTTGGGTATAGAGATGATCAGGTGATATTATGTAAGAACACAATCGTATTGAGTGGGTTTCATTCCGTCATACAGACAAAAGATATGGACGGGCTAGATCCTGATCTTTACACAAGTCTACAGTACAGAAACGGACGAATGGTCTCCATCCTCGGTCTCCTCGTTAATGCGCAAACCTGAAATCTAACCTCTTCATTCCCTCATCCTTGGTGTTGATGACATAGTCCTCTTGCTCCTCCTTTGTCATAGCGTTCCACTGTCCTTCTCTCACCTTATTCCTCCAAATATAGAACGCCTTCACACCATAAAACAAAAACACGTTATACACACAGACACCAAGTAGTATCTTGTTCCCCCTGCGGTACAGTGGTTGATCGTCATCGCGATAAATGTTTGTAGCAATGATGTTGCCAGACTGAACAAACATATTGTAGAAAGCCGCTGAGACAGCACGCGTACGAACAGAGTTCGAGTTCTTTGCATTCCAGCTTACGAGAATAGCATGGCAGTAAGGGTAGGAAAGAAGACCGGTAAGTAGTGCATACCGGATCCAGGGGTTTGCGCTAGCAGGCAGGACAACTAGAGCGAGGAGCCAGGGGAAGATCCAAATATTTGAGAGACTGGATATCATGGACCGTTCTTTGAACTTCTCAGATAGCCAGGTGACAACTAGAAGTTGGACTGCGTAGAGAAACTGGCTGGGTATGGCGAGTAAATTAGCTTCGAACACAGAGAAGCCAAGTTGGCGAAGGATGTAGGAAAGGTAGTTCTGAGGTGGGTTCGGTGGAATGTAGGCTGTCAGGCCGATGAGGTAGAGGGGCCATTGTTCCCAGTCGCAGGCTGCTTTCCAAAGAAGTGGGAGGCCGATCGCTTGACGGTTATTCATGTCGCCTTTTGAGGGATCGTCGCGGAGGATGCGGTTCACGAGAATGTGCTCTTCGTGTTCAGTGAACCAGCCGTTTTTGCCACGAAACCAGTGTTTAGTTTGACAGGCACCAGGGGGCATAAGACCAAAGGAGAAAATGCCGATAACAAGCGTCATGGCGCCTTCGATCAAGAACCTGTCAGTGTTAGGACCAATATGAGTCGGATAACAGTATGCGCAAAGCTCACAGGTATTGCCAGCCACCCCAGCCATTGAGTCCTCTCATCTGTAGTATACCCGCTGCAAGCAGTGATCCAAGGATGTTGCAGGTACTTAAAGCAGTCCAGAACCATGCTAGGCGATACGGAAGTTCATTCGACTTGTAAAAGTACGTCAACCAGAGGACGATATCTGGGATGAAACCGCCCATCAGCAGGCCGAGGATGCACCTGATGATGAAGTAGTGGGCCTTGGTTTTCATGGCGCATTGCGCGGCACTGACAATGGACCATGTGCAAATGATCGTTGGAATCCATCTGCTGAATCTTTAGCACTTGAAGCTTGATGAAGAGACGGATGAGCAAGATGAACTTACCGATCAGCACCAAGCTTCTTGCTAATTAGGCCGCTGGGTAGCTCTGCAAATAGAAAAGAAGCAAGGAAGATCTGGTCTCGTATTAATCAATGTTCTAGACACAATATCGTGCATGAAGCGTACAGTTTGACCGTAGTTGTAGTCATTAGTGTTCATACCTGTAGTTCGTTAGTATTCAGTTTGTAACCTTGAGCCCAATGATACTCACCCAGATCTTTAAGCAAGTTATCCGAGATTGCTCGATTGATATTCCTGCGATTCAACTCCATAGAAATGAACATGATCCATGCCCAGAACGCTATCCGCCAGTCGAGCTACAACCGGGATGTTAGTCTAGATGCAGTGTGTTGAATTCTCTTACTTACTCTCTTGACAAGACGTTTCTCTTCTTCGGCTTCCCATGTATACTGTGGGTTGAATCGATGCCGTCCTTCATATTCGGCATTTTCGTATATTCGACGCCAATGCTGAGCTGTGGCTGGGTCGCTGAAGGGGTGGTCTGCAGATGAACCATAATGTGGTGATACCGACTCGGAGGCTTGTGACGATCCTGAGTCTGAAGCTTGTGCAAAGGGAACCTGCTTTTCTACTGGCGTAGATGCAGCCATGGTTACGTCTAAAAGAGTGTAACGATATTCGTCTCGTGATTGTTGTTGATCTGGCTAAGACCAATCGGTCGGTACTGATCTTTGGGTGTACCAGGAAAGCGTTATAAGAGACCGGAAATGCTCATACCCAGGTACTGCCTATACAGATGATGCAACTCTGGGTACAGTTGACAACATGCGCTAAAGACAAAACCCTTGCTGCTCAGTCAAGGCCACGAAAGCCGAGAAGCTTGGTTCTAAAAGCCGTAGATAAGAAACGTGGATTGTGCGATACAAAATCATTCTCAAGTATAGCATGCTAGACTACCTATCGGCAGCGATGCGCTCCAATGCAGCACACCTTCTCCACATCGTCTGAATCCGTTCAAAATCCTTCAGTGATTGCGTAGGGTCGCCCAATCCGAGTAGAGTACAGGAAAAGAGCGCCTTGACGTGACAGGTGCATGCAACAAGTCCATCATATGATAGGATGTACTTCTATAACGCCTTAAGGCAGCCGGGTGGTTCAATCATCGACTGAACGGTCGTTCATCGAACGCATACCATATGGATATTGGCACGTTTACTCTCAAAAAATACCCTTGGCTCCGTGGGGTTGGCGCAAACCGTCATCTACCAGGGTCGAAATCAGTTCTCTGCGAGTGGGACCCGTCTTTGATCGCCAACGGATAGCCTGTCAAGAATGCCATGCATTCTAGCGAGGTATGTTGTGAGAATGGCGGTAATGTCGTCAGTCACTGCTGGCATCGCCCACACATAATCCTCAGTGTGAGATCTTTACACCTTGGCAGATTGCTGAATCGATTCGAGTTTGGACGCGCTTCGAGATTTTTGAGTTCCGGTGTTGATGCTGAGATCAAAAGTGAAAGAGAATGAAGGGGGCTAGGAATCCGCCACGCGGAAGTCGCGTCGCGTCTGGGTCCACGCGTTCTCACTTTCCGCTAGGGGTAGGACCAACAGAAATACTACTTCTCTTCTGTCGCAATCGCCAAATGCTCGAGCACAAATGTCTGCAGCGCGTTATTTCCGGATTAATGTCAATGCCAGCCATACGACCCTGCCGAGCAGCACGCCATTCTACCCCCACATGTCGTAGCCTCAACCCCGCAACACATTGTCCATTGTCGCGCACCATAGGATGTCATGATTGCAGTTGGTGAATGCAGGCATCATTATAGCTGTGCCGAGAGTGATTGCGCCATACTATCCATGCGATGATGCAACAATGCTAATCTGCAAATCGAGAAGCTGTTGTTGATCAAGCCGTCCATGAATATGTACCCAGTAGTAGCAAATGTGGCGAAGTAAGAGTAGCAAATAAGTGTAGCATGGTCTACTAAGATATGCATTGTGAATGCTGCCCTAGAAGTCCATTCCAATATCGTCTATCATGGCCACGAGCACCTCTACTGCCACTTTCACTAAGAGCAATGACCCTACAGCACAGCATGGATACCCACGCGAACCCTTGAAGTCGAAAGGTGTACTGAATGCATATAAATCGTTCGAAGTCACGCCAGTCATCGGTCGCGAGTTCGTTGATGTGAGCCTGAAGGAATGGTTGCGCGCACCAAACTCTGATGAGCTGATACGCGACCTTGCGATTACAAGCAAGCTTCACTCGACCATTTCAAAAGTTGTAACAGCTAACAGGATGAACAGTCTCTCAGCGTGGTGTTGTCTACTTTCGCAAGCAGGATGACTTGACCGATGAGCTTCAGAAAGAGCTGGCACAACGTCTCGGCGAGCTCTCGGGTAAGCCAGAAACATCCAAATTACATATTCATCCAGTCAGAAATGCCGGAAACCGTCTTGGGGGCAACGACAATGAGATCAGTGTCATCAGCTCAGACCTGGCGAAGCAGCTCTTCAAGGAGAGGTCACAGAGCGGCAAAAGTGGCTGGCACAGCGACATCACTTTCGAGCCAGTACCAAGCGACTATGCGATCTTAAGGATGACTCAGCTACCAAAATCTGGGGGCGGTAAGTTTCGCGAGCAGCCAGAGTCCTGGCGCTGTGGCTGAACTTTCTTTAGACACTCTTTGGGCCTCTGGATATGACCTTTACGATCGCCTCTCGAAACCATACCAGAAGTTCTTCGAGTCTCTTACAGCGACATACGCGCAGCCGGATTTCAATCGTGCTGCCAAAGAAAATAAATTCCCCGTTTACACCGCTGCGCGAGGTGCACCGGAGAACACTGGCGACTCACTGAGCGCTGTTCACCCCTGCGTCCGTACGAACCCCGTCACAGGATGGAAGTCTCTCTACAGCGTCGGGCACCATGTCCAACGTATCAATGAGTTGAGTGCAGAAGAATCAAAGCGCACTATAGATTGGTTTCTACAGCTCATTACTGAAAACCACGATCTGCAGATCAGACATAGATGGCAGAATCCAAATGACGTGGCGATCTGGGACAACAGGAGCGTGTTACACACCGCGACGTATGATACCGACGGCCAGGGCCCGAGGAAGGGGTTTAGAGTTGTCAGCTTGGGCGAGCGACCATATCTGGATCCGCAAAGTACGAGTAGGCTGGAAGCGTTGAGGCTGGAGGAAGGACAGTAGTGTGCCGTGTGCGCAAGACCTGGATTAATTGAATGTCATCTTAGCTCCAATGGAAGAGATCGATGATCCCTGAGCCAACCAAGCGATACTTGAAGAAGTGTAGAGCAAATCCTTCGTAGGCTGCTACAATCACGTGCCCTCACATGTCAGCTTTTGTGCAACGTGAAACTGCCCATAACACGGGACATCCTATCGCGCAACACCCACCTGAAGGCAGCTTTAATCACGTGATGTCACATGCGTCTTGCTGCCTTCCCCCTAAATCCACCTCGTGGTCTATTCCATCGTCTATATAAACTCTCATCTTACGCCCTATTCATCTCTTCATACTTACCAGTCAGGGTCGGCGAGCTCATGCTTTCGCATAGACCGACTTGGATCAGCTGCATGGCACCATTGTGGTACTGGTCTTGTCTGATGGCTCCGTGTGGGCGGTCTCTGGCATAATTTTTGTGGTCTCTTTCATTGGTCCATCCCACCACGGTGTGAGGATTGAGGAAGGAGTGGATATTTTCGATAAGTGGATATCGTGATTGTCTTTTCAAAGTCGGTGCGTGACTCAATCCAACATTATCTCTCTGAGTTCCGGTTCTAATGCGTCCCAGAATTCCTTATGTACGATGCCCAATCCACGTCTTTCAGCGATATTTCCAACCCATCGGATCCACATGACATTGTAGAAAGATACGCTCCCTTCATTATTTCCATGCTATTGAAGAAAGAAGCTTTCTGTTTTTCCCAAAAGACATTATCGGCCACCCGCGTTGTGCTACACGCTCTGGAAGGGAGGGTTCGGCTGCTGAGATGGCGATAAGCTTGCAAAGGCTGCCGTGTGGAGGTATGTTTTCTTTGATATTGCACATCAGGGTAAGATTGCCCACCATCTCCTCGCCATTGCACAAGACCATCATCATGCGGTGTGTTTTGTCGCAAGTTACCGTACACCCGAATGTCAGTGTAGCGCATGGGGCGAAACAGTGGAGAACGGGGGCAGATGGGGTGTGTATCTGGCGCTTGGCAGAATTTACTCCGGGAAGAGGGAATGAATACTTTCGCGAGGAGAGAATGTTCGTAAAGTAGTCGCCATTAGGGTGGCGATATCGCTTCCAAACCGTAGGGAGTTGTCTACAGGGAGAGCCTCGGAAAGCCTGGTACTCGTAAAAGCCATTGAATCCTGCGTCTATCTCATCTGCTGTATCTGGCATCCGGTACTCTGCCACAGATCTCAGGGTTGCAATGGGAACCCAGTCTGATGAGTGATTCGAATCACGAAAGATGTTAGCGTAGAAAGGGTACCAAGCAGACAAGCAGTCTATGATACCGTCTTTCCAGCCCATACATGACCAACTAGGTTCACCATCACGTCTCAACACGAAGTCCTTAGGTAACCAGAGCAACGCAATGTCGAAGAAGAACTTCGGCATGCCATAGAGTATACCTTCTGGGAAAGTGGCATTTATGATTTCTGTAGCGCCTGCAAATGCTTCCCGAGCGTCTTTCTCATGTCAGATGCCGTGAAGAAAAATCCTTCAAAAACATACCCCACCGCCCAAGCGATGGTATTGTAGGGATCAATGACATCATAGCCATTGGTACGCCAAGATGCGGAAACTCTGCTGGCCATTCATTTTCCTCAGTGGTATGGATATCTTCTGTACATCTGAGCATATGGATGCCCTCTTGCCACTCACAGCGTCCACACATCCAGGACACAGCGCTACCGAATATGAGGAGACGACGAGAGAACAGAGATTCTTGAAACGTCCAGCCCCTAGTCGCCCATTTCGAATATTCTGGGTAGGCACTCCATAGATGGGAGTAGGATTGGGACTAGGGATTCGATTCTTCGAAGGACCTCCGACACCTCTTAGGCCATGATCTGCGTCATTTCCATCGGAAGCAACAACCATGAAGTCGGCACTTGCGTATATGCGAGCCATAGCCCGCAATGTGATTTCCATCTCTTCTGAACATGTATCTTGAACGGTGGACAGACAATCCACCCACACATAACGCTCACCTAAAGCCTTGGCCAGATATATAGCATATCTGATCGTATCAGGAAGCATTATGCCGTTTTGCTTGTTGTATAGAGCCCCCGGCTGTAACAGAATATCGATGTTTGATCTCTTCGTCTTAAACATAGGCACGGCACCCCACACATAGGGAAGAGCAACGTAGGTAATTGGCGACGAAGTGGACAGAATGACAAGTGAGCCGTTAAATACATCAACCAGTATTAGACGATCGATGTGCTGCGCCAAGGTCTCCGCATGGTCGTCATTGCAGCAGTCGCCGTGTGTATTGCGACAAGCTCGGCGCCAGTTCCGGATGTTTTCGAGATCGATTGTGGAGTCGATGGGTACAGAAGACCCTCTGGCATAAGTTGAAAGCATCTCGATTAGAAACAAGGACACTTGTAGGGCTGGGGCTAGCGATGGGCTGGACTGGTCGCTGACCAAAGACGAATAGTCTCAATCAAGGTGCAAGGGTAGACGAGAAGCCATCAGAATTCCATGAAGTAAATTGAGTGCTGAGCGCAGGCGACGTTTTTGCAATGAATACTGATTGGCACATGCGATTGTAGACTTTCTATGTCTGCGCAAAAGCGGGGTTCGTTGCATGGCCAATTTGCGGCTGATAAGCGTTAAGCGTCTCTCGTGAGTACTGACATTGATTTATTGTTGATTCGCTGTCATGAGCTGCAGCAGCCTAAATCTTGACAGAAAAGGGCGCCGTTGAATACTTTGTATATCCCGACTTATTCGTCAGCGACATGCGTGCCTGAGCGCACGATGCTTTGAGATGGTGGGTGCGGCTTGTACCATATATCCGCTTGCTACGACTTCAAAAGAAGTCGAATACGTTCCACCAGATATATCCAAGCACGGCGGCTGCGCTGGTGGCCGCAAAAGGCAGGCTCATCTCCACAACACTCCAAATCCAGAGTGTGCCAATAGGGGGCGCCGACTTCATGACATAGAAATAGCCATGCTTATTGCCTGAGTATACCAAGTAGCAGCCTGCTACGACAGAACCTCCGAAAAACGTAGCGTCTCGAAGTATGGGGAATCGGTATGAGAAGTCGACGTGGGTCAGGTAGACTGCTAGAAAGAATACGGGCCACGCTGTCAGTGCCCGCCACATGATCTCATTCCAGAGTATATCCTCGCGGTATTGGCTGTATACGAGGACGTCGAGCGTGAGGTGGAGTGCTGCCATGGAGACGGAATAGAGAATCGAGTCCCCAAGGGGACCGATTGGGGGACCATCATCGGCCGAGGCAGAGGCGGATGACACTGGCACTTTGACCACTCGCGTCCTGCCGTTCGCCTTGTCTAGTTCTCTCTGCCTCTCTTCCGCCAAGTCGAATAGTGTCTTGCCTGTTGGCTTGGAGAAGTCGGGGTGCTTCAGAATCATCTCGACGCCATCTTGGTCGATTTCGTTGGTGGGCTGGAAGCCAGTTGCAGCACCACTCCTAGTTGCATTGGATTCTTTGGCGCGTCGCTCTTTCCGGTTGCCGGCAGACATGGTGGTGGATGTGCAGAGGGGTCGAGTGGTAGGGTTGAGCACGTCGCGTGTTTGCTCGAGAGAATCTCCAAGATGACGTGGGTCAAAGCTCGCTCCAGGACCCCAGTGGCTTCCAATGCCGACGCGCTACCTCCCCTGGCTTGAGTTTGTAGACAACAATTGCGGTTCCAACATATTCACCGTGTACCCTGTATGCCATTACTGAAGATGAGCTGGACTGTCTGGGCCTCGGTGCCTGTCCTTATTTTCGTCTTCTGGATGTATACCAGCACTCTCGGCGCTTCGTTCCCCACATTACAAAACAAACGCATACTACTGTTGATAGCGCATCCTGACGACGAGGCCATGTTCTTTGCCCCGACTTTGCTGGCATTGACGCGTCCAGAACGCGGGAATCACGTCAAGATACTGTGCTTGAGTAGCGGTATGGCATGCACATGTCCTGTGTATTCTCAGATGCGACCACTAATCTCGTACAACAGGGGATGCCGATGGTCTTGGCGAGATTCGTAAGAAAGAGCTGGTCAAAAGTGGGCTGCAGCTGGGAATCGGAAGTAAGGAGGATATTCTCGTTGTAGAAGACAAGTACGCACTGCAATGCAACGCTGCATGGCTGCGACATGCTGATCATTGCCCAGGAACTTCCCAGATTCCATGACAGTAACATGGCACCCTCGTCTAATCTCCAATCTACTCACCACCGCCTTCGCTCCAAACATGACCTCAATCTCTTCCAAGGAGGCACCGCAGGCGACCGTTGACGCTATAATCACCTTTGATGCGCACGGCGTCTCCGACCACCCCAATCACAAATCGCTCCACGACGGAGCGCATACCTTTTTAAAGGCACTCATGCACCGACACAGTGGGTGGGAGTGCCCTGTCAAGCTGTACACTCTCACCACTACCTCCATATTCCGCAAATATCTTAGCTTACTGGACGCGCCTGCTACAATCATTGGCGCAATCATCCGGAAGAAGGAGCTTGGAGGCTTCCCAACTCCACTCTTGTTTGTCAGCTCGCCGGCCGATTACAGGACTGCCCAGAGAGCCATGACCACGGCACACGAAAGCCAGATGCGCTGGTTTCGTTGGGGCTGGATTTCCCTATCGCGTTACATGGTGCTCAACGACCTGAAGAAGGAGTAGTTACCACAATGTGGAAATGGCTTTTGGAAATACATTGTCATCATCAAAATCTATGTGGACCAGATTTCAGTTATCCCAATGAGGCTATAAACTGCCCCATTTTAGGTGCGGCTGAGGCCAACAGACAAAGAACATCTCAGCGTAATTTCCGGACCCTGAAGTCGTGTTAGATACCAAGAAAGGCAACTGGCGGAACACGGCAGTGATGCCGCGGCCAAAAGCTCCACCATTCGTTGTGCCTGAGGAACCTACGGATACGCGGGCTTGGAGGTCCGTGTGACTTGACGTGCGTCTTGCATTGCACAAGGGGCGTAAACTGCAAATGTGCTCATAGCCTGCTCACTTTCCCAACTTTAGCATGCGTTGTAGCACAGCTTGCCCTTGCGATATTCATAAGTATTGCGATTTCGCTTGACAAAAGGCAGAGAGAAAACACCTTGCGCTCTCAACCCGTGTTTTGCATAGCAGGCAGCAAAGGGCGTCGACTAAGAGACCCATAGCCACCTAGACCTGTCAACCGTAAGCCGGATGCAGACCTTTCAAAGAACCTCAACTGACTTATTGGGCTCAGACGAACTGATCTGAAAGGCCTGTTCAACACGCACAAGGTCTGCATACCATGGCTTCCCCGCCGATACTTCGCTTGCCCGTCGAGCTTCATCTGGAAATAGTCAGTCTTCTCGACCTAAGCAACAAAGTCAACCTGGCTTTCACGACTCGCTATTTCAGATCCATCATTCCTCCACCAACGCACATCGAATTTCTGGCCGCCGAAGGAACCACCTGGGCAAAATCCAGACAACTCTATACTTGCAATAGCTGCATCAGCTTCAACCACTGGAAGGACTTCGCCGATGATATGAGAAAAGGGAAGTGGTGTCGCAGTGGCACGCAGGCACATGCAAGATTCTGTCTTAAATGCGGGGTAAATGATGCGCTGTACGCCCCAGGCACACTACTTACGATCTGCAACCGGGTCCATGTGCTTTGCAGTGTCTGCAAAGTCCTCACAGACCAGATTGGCGACCGTAGTGGTAGGTGCGCTGGTTGTTCTCCGGGCCGGTCGCGCAGTCACAACTGTGACTACTTTGACAACGATGATGATGACTGGAGGCTAGAACGTGCATCTGATCGAAATCATCTACGAGACGTGTACGACTGGGCTGAAGAGGGACGCCTTCACAGGTACTGAGTCGACTATGAGTTTTGCCAACAACCATAGATAAGCGGTACGCTGTTGGTCGGAGCCCAGAACAATCATATCCCTACACGGCAAGCTGGAACATCCTGCGACCACGATACTTCTCCTACATGAGATTACGATTTTCTGTGAGGAACAGCATTGCTGCAATTTCGGTGTTGTTCCTCGTCTTCACGTTTGCCGCCATGTTCGCAAATAAACCGTTCGCAAATGCTTCATCAATATACCACGTCACGGCTGCTGTCGACATTCACATGGGGCCCGCAACTCTTAAGGTGTTAAGCACACAATTCAGATTCAGATCTTTCAAGTTCGCAGATCCACGCTCAGACTACCAGGAAGAAACAAAGGTACCCAAAGCATACAAGGTCGTCGCTTACGCTTCGTCTACGTTTTGAGCGCCAGATCTTGCACAAGCTTAATACTCATATACTGCGGATGCCGAACCCAGGGAAACCCACTCCTAAATCTGCATTGCCAGCAGTTTCAGGCTCTGCACCCCAGCGATCCCACACTCTGAAGCGACGCATCTCTTCTGGCTTCAATACATTTATGACTGCTCTTCCCATACGGAGAACGACCCCACAACCCACTTCTGCCCTTCGATTGAGTACGGCACTTGGAGAAGACGTGGTTGTAAAGCGAGTTATCGCTGATGCCGATTCGCAGGTTATCCAACAACTGCCAATCATTCAGATACAAGTTGCATCTCTCTCCGAGCCCAACCAGCATTGTCCCTATGATCCCAGTAATTATCGTTCCTTTTCCAACGTTGAACGCTCATGCTGCAGCTTCTGCGGGATGCGACCACCAAAGTCACCTTTTAGCGTATCATGCGATGAAAGTCGATCCGAAAGCGCACTTTCTCATATGAGACCAGCTTTGGGGAAGAGAACGGACCTTACGGCCAGGAGAGAAGTAACGATTCAAAATGCGTCTCTTCCGCAGCACAGTTCTTCATCCGAAGAGGGCCCGCGTCTAGTGCCTCCAGAAATTGCAGCGAAAAGGATAGGTAACCCACCAAGGAAAGCAGCGCTACCAATTCAGCGATCTGGTGCTGTCAATGACAGCTTGACACCGCCCTCTGACCAGCGGAGCTCGCAGTCACTAGAGAATAGAATTACTGCCGCGCACGCAAATGTTCCTCGACGGCGGAAAAGTGCTCTTGAGCAGAACGACGTAAGGCCAATAAGCCCTAGATTGCATTATCACCATGGCTTACCCAACTCAAAGGATTACCCTTACGTCCTAAAAAGTGAAGTATCTCAACACCTAGATGCTATACGTGCCGGTGAACCGAGCCCATTAATCGACTTTGCCTGCGCTGCTCGTCTCAAAAAGGCTTCAGATCGGATGACAGACTTCTCTGAGACGGTTTTCTATGGTCAGAAATTCTCGGCAGCTTTCGGCCCTATTCCAGAGCAACATTCATCTCTGCAACCACCACGCAGTACCTTAATCGTTGAAAGGAGTCTCGACACGGGTGGTCATGTCGTGATTGAACGTCCGCGTCCTGAGCAGCAAGCTAGCATTAATGCACTGCTGCACAGCGGAGATAAGTACTCCAGACGCGCCACACATCTATCACAGCAAAATTCACTAGATTCGAGACCATCGAGTAATAATCGACGTCGAACGAGACATACAAGTTCGAGAGCAGCACCGACTTCAAACGATCAGCCATCGGACTTTCAGGAAGGGCTCAGTGACGATATCATACCAAAATTACGAGGTGGTTATAAGGGAGAAAAACATACGCATACGGGTAGTTGTGATTTAACCCTCAAACAGTTGCTACTTACTTATTACAGGCCTGGTCATGGCTATGCCACTGATTCGGACAACGACGAGAACTTGCCACCAGCGAGGACTCTGAATCTGGCTGAAATTGCGCGCGCTTCAAGGCAGGCTCATGGTATATCACGTCTCCCCAAGGGAATTTCGAGACGTGGTGGAAGCCAGGAGACATCAAGGGTGGGCAAATCTGCAGCTGGCAGCGGACACGTTACTAATTTGCTGCCATCACGCACACCAAGTTTCGCAGCTACCCACTCACAGCCTCGCTCTATGTTCTTCCATCTACCAACGTTCGGTCTCACCTCAACACCTGCCCTTCCTACAGTTCCTCCATCCAATCGTTCTGCCCCTTTTACAGACGTTGCTATTCAACCTAGAACACAATCACCTATCGTCAGCCTTAGAGGTGGCACTGGCTCGCCTTCTGCTCTGCGAGGCTATGAGCGCCTCCCACCAACATTATTCTGGCTTGCAGGTGGTCGAGGCAAACCTATTACCACTGTTAGCTGGAAGACCCAAAGGCCTAAGAAGAGAATGAACGGATTGCTTGGTATGACTCTTCATGGGCTTGACGCAGGTACCGAATACAGGGAAAAGGCAAGAACACAAGATAACGGCATGAGCACTGGGATTGGGCAGGATGTGCCAGTCGTTCCTCAAGCAAGCAAATCCGTCACGGAAGAGAAGGCGGAGAGTGCGAAGTCAGAAAACACTTATTCTTCCAGGTCCTGTTCATCATTGACGAGCAATACGAAAAGCCACACTGCACAGTCCTCAAGATCGAGCAGATCCGGCAAGGTGCGTCGTGAAGCACAAAGGGAGACACCCTTGGAACCGGCACCTGGGGAAGCAGCTGCTGCTCGAGCGGAGGCAGACCATATCCCAACTAGCGCTGCAGCCACAGAAGACCAGCCCGCGAATGCCCTAAAGGAAGATGCCCCTCTGGTTGAAGATTCGCAGAGAGAGCCCATGAGCGTTGATCCCCAAGGAGAAACACTGCCTCCGAACGAAAACGTGAAGGAAGGACAAGCGGCGGCAGAAGAGAATGGCGGGGCAAATACACAGAGTGGTTGAGTGCTGAAGGGTGTGTATGTTTAACATGCTTGGTACGTAAATATATGTATACCGTGAGATATTGCTGCTGTCGTTATTAGCACAACTCCACAACATGCGATACCTCGTAGCTGCCCTTGAGTCCTTCAATGCCGTTCCAAACTACCTCTGAATGATCTTTGGGACTATATATCGTACAATCTTTCTTCCGTGACCATTTAACTCATCAGACCATGAACCTGTTCGCTGCTTAGCGTGGCTTTAGCAGCAGGTCTTTTCCCAGCCGCCCGCTTAGACATAGGCGCACTCGTCCTCCGCCCACCTGCCGCTGGCCTTGCACTTCCGCTCCCACTTCCACCACTCCGCTGTGCCTCTACAGCAGCCTCATGCTCAATCTTGCTAACCGCCCTCGTGATGGCCATACTATATCCGCCAATCCACTCAGACCAGCTCTGCTTTCCATCGCTGTTATCAACAGCGACCTCCATGCTTGAACTCATACTCCTCTTCGGCTTCGGTGTAGTACCAGAAGACATTTTGGAAGCAGGAACCTTCGTAGTCTTGGCATTGGATTGCGGCGATGATGAAGCATTGTTTTCAGCACGCAGGGCAGCAGCAGCGCGTCGTTGTTCCAGAAAAGACCTCGCAACATTCTGCGCAGCGGAAACACCTGATTTGATGGTTTTTACGTCTTCGAGATTGACATTCGCAGGGATGGGGATACGGTAGCTTCCTGATAGGGTGACTTGTCTGTCTGCACCAGCACTTGTTCCTGAGGAGCCTCTATTGATTTCCTCGACGTACTCTGCTCCTCCACTCCTTCCTCCTCTTGTAGACGGATGATAGTGTTCCAGATCCTGTCTTGCTACCTCCAGTTCACCCTCAAGGCGCACAAGTTCTTCGTCTGCTTCTTCCTCTTCGTCATCATCATCGAGTTCCTGAACCCTAGCGTTGCTGTCGTTGACTGTGGTATTGAGCGTAGGTACCTGTGCTGAGGATGAAGCTTTTCGGCCTTTACCCCGTCGGCGAGGAGAGCGGCCTGGTCGAGAGTCGGGAATAGCACCTGCTTTGTAGAGCTCTTCAACTTTGGCTTCTAAGCCTCTCACCCGAGATTTCAGTGCTTCGAGTTCAGAGGATGATGGTACATCTGATTTGTTTGTGGCCGCAGACTTTGCAGTATCTGCAGGTGTTGAAGTAGGCTCCTTGTTCAACTTCCTGGGTTTCTTTTTCTGTGTCTTCGACGCGGCTGCGGTAACCTCATCGGTACTTGGTGCAACCACAGCCTTTTTGGATGATGATGCTGAAACCTTTGCTGAGGAATCTTTTGGTAAAACCACTCCTCCTGCTGACCCCGCTCTTCCCTGTTCAGATTGGCTTGGTGTGGCGGCTTTCCTGGACCGTGCCTGCTTGATCGGCGTTGCAGGTGTTGCGTTGGGTTCTGGCGATGACGGCTTGACTGCCATTGTATCAAACAGATTACTTCTCTCCGAGCATGTAAAGCCCTAATACCAATTGTTTAATACTATGCTGTCGAGGGTAAGCTTGTGCTGGATCCTTCTCTACATAGAATTTAGGGCGATGGACGTTGGACTCGTAGCTAAATTAATTGGAAGAAAGCACTATATGCATTGCACGATATGAAAAGAAAAGTGATAGCGTAGGTCAATCGACGCCAAAGCAAGATATCGAAGTTGGACACAAGCTGAGCACATCTGACGTATTGTGGCGCGCGTACCGGGATCCTGCATCCTGAACCCTGCCCACGGCACGTCAACGGCGATCAGCTACGCGTTAGCATGGCTAGACTTTTTGGGTTTCGGGCCTTACGCTCTTCGATCTACCCTATTTCATGGAAAGACTGAATACCCTTCAGTAAGTCTTGAGACTTTATTGGCCTGCCGCATTAAAAAGCACGGGCTTTCGGAGATGCGACATTCCTGCCGGACTCATCAGAATTGCAGATCTAGATCATAGTATGAAGCCACATCATTGAGACCTTGCGTCAAACATTGGAGTGTAGATACTTTCAAAATTCTTGTTGCAGCTAAATACATGCCTGTGCATATAATACCTCTAGTCCAGTAGCACAGATCCGTCAAAGAAAGCTTGGCTGAGCCATAATAACAGACAAAGTTGCGAGAGGAGATGATCAAAACTATGGCATATCCTATGTTTACCGAGTCCGGAAGGTCTAGGAGGAAGACCAGTACTTTTAGAGACGAGCAGCGCCAAGGAACGGCATCGTAATGGGCATGCAGAAAGAAGCTCATGAAAGGTTCCAAGTCCAGCTACGGACGCCTTGCAACTCACGCTCGGATGAACAGGGCCGTAGAAAGGGCGATGATTGAGCAGTAAAGCAGTAACATCGGAAGACCGTCGAATGAAAACAGCTGTGACAAACAGCACAGGCCCAGAAATACAAGGGACACCACCACGCCGTCAAATATGCGTTGCGATCATCCTGGATACAGCGTCAGGGCGAAGTTTAGCCAATAGGTACGCCCACCTAAGACGCAATGGCACGAGCCGGTGCACCTCCACCTCCCCGACGGTTGTTCTTCACGTTCTTGGTGGGCTTCGTGACAGTGCTCCAGCCGTCATCGTCCATAGCCTCGGTAGTGGTGCCCTCAGGTGCCGCAGGCGTGCTAGACTTTCGCCTCCATGAACCCTGTTCAGCCTTTGGTGGGTCGCGAGTGATTTCTTGCGGCTTGACGTCCTTGTCGTGTACAATCTCTCCTTCAGCATCCTCATCTTGGCCAGCAGAGTTGCCCTCATCAACCCGTTGTAGAATCTCGAAGTTGGATTTGGGCTTCTCCTCGGTACCATTCTCCTCTTTCTTCGTTGGCGTTGGCTGCACCGAGTCCTTGGGCGCCGGTTTCTCTGCAGCTTCCTTAGCCTTTTTCTCTTCGCGAGCCTTGTCATCCGCCTCCTTCTTCTGGCGTATAGCTAACTGCCTCTTCTCTTCGATCTCTTTCTCACGAGCAGCGGTGTCGATGGGACGTGCAGCACCGAATGGGTTGGGCTTATCTGAAGGGGTGGAGACCTCCTGAGCTGCTGGAGCCTCGGAGACTGTTCGCTTGGCCAGATTCAAGCGGGGGCGACTGGCTGGCGCAGCAGGCTGCGGCGCTGGCGATGATGGTGTGCTAGCATCGGGTGTAGATGTGGGTGACTTGACAGCAGGTGCGTCAGGGCGCATCTTGGACCGCCACTGGTTGTCGGCGTCTGCAGCAGTGGGCTGTCTCTCGTACTGTGGTCGCTCCTGGAACTCACGGCGCGGCCCACGAGAGCCTTCGGTGCCCTGACCCTCACCCCAGGCTGGGGACTGCCTGCGTCCCTCACGGGGTCCTCCTTCAAAGCCACCTCGTGCGCGGCCACCTTCGCTGGGAGCAGGAGCAGCGGCTGGCGAAAGAGGTCCTCGGCGCTCCCAGTTGCCAAAGTCACGGGGCTTGCCGTCGCCCTCGAATGGAGGTGGGCGGCGACGTTCGCCCCGCTCGCTACCGGCGTCAGATGCTGCGTCGAAGGCACGGTCACGGCCTGCGCCGAAGCCGCCTCGTCCAGAGCTGCTGCGCTGGCCAGGGAGATCGGGAAGGGGTCCCTTTCGGGTCCAGTCTGAGATGTCTCGGGCTTCGGGGCGGTCCTTTGCTGCAATAATGTCAATTGTTTTCCGCGCGCGTATGAGGGGGAAATAACGTACGTGGTTCAGCAACGCTGACACGAATATTCCTGCCCTGGAAAGATGTGCCAGACAGGTCGAGAGCCTTCTTCAGTCCATCGACACTGCCAAATTCGACGTATCCAAAACCCTTGGGCTTGCGGTCTAGTTTGTCCTCGACAATACGTACGTTGGTCACCTCGCAGTCGGCAAAGAAGTCGGTTACGTCACCCTCGGTGGCATCGAAAGAGAGGTTGCCCAAGTGAGCGGTGTACGGGGGCTTGGAGGGCATGGGGAGGGCCTCGCGAGTCGCGAATCCACGGTCGGCTGTAAGAGTGTTAGCATATGCGAAGTCGGGTAGAGGATTGCTTCTCACCGAAGCTGCCAGCGCGGTCAGCACCGAAGCCGCTGCCGCCGCCAGAGCCAAAGGTGGGCCTATCGCCTCCGTAGCCAGAACTTCTGCCGGCACCTGCAAATGTGTAAGTCTACCGTGGGTTGCATGTTTGCGCTGCGACTGTTGGTGGGGTATATTTACCAACTCCTGCAGATGTTAGCACGGGAACTGGTCCAGAAGCAGTATGCGTCCAACTCACCAGGCATGGGCGCATCCTCCATCTCATCGGCCCATGATCCTAGCGCTGCGTTCTGTCAGTCGTCTGCGCCCTCGAGGGCCAGTGGGCGGGGCATACATTGGTCTGCTAGGAAGTCTCCTAGGGCCATCTTCTGCTGTTCCTTCTTCTTGGGCGCTGCAAACCACCTGTCAGCCATGGTCGTCTTGTTTTGGGCGCGGTACAGAGCGGGGCAAAAAAGCCGGCTCGAGTGACGCCTGCAATTTGCGCAACTTACCCATGATTGCGGTTTTGCAGACTTGGCGCGTACAAATTCCGCACGCTGTCTGGTTTGGGGTTCGAGAGCGTGTGTTACTCTCGGTTTGGGTTGTAGGTGGTTGCGGGGTCTGTCGTTGTTTCGTGTGTGGGGTGAGTTCTTCTTTCCCGAACGGAAATCTTAAGCTGTGCGTCCGTTGGGCCTCGCTTAGTCATCGCATTTCTTTTGCAACCACGGCATTACGAACGCCGAGCCCTGGATTGCCTTTACCCGAAACTGATGCACCACTCTCGCACGCCAGATCGCATCAATGAAAGAGCGATGAAACCCGATTATGACCCAGAGCAGGTCACCCAGCCCCTCGAGCTTGTTAGGCAAGCAGCATTGGTCGGCGGAGCCTCAGGTACGCACATGGTCCTTTCATCATTCTTCTCACTGTTACACTTCTGCTTCAATTCACGCCTGCATATGGTCGAGCTAATGCTCTTCACTTACTATGCTTTCGTCTGACGTGATTCAGCAATCCCCGGTACTGTGATTGGTGCCTTGTACGGCACAGTCCGCACACAAACTCCTGTTCTCTTCTCTATTGTCTCGGGGGCACAGTGGTTCGCCATTGGCAGCACATTCTGGAGTATACGCACGTCTGTTCTCAACCACGCTGGCCTGATCAACTGGTGGAACGTCACTCGAGGTGCGCCTTCTTACCCGCGCAATGACCTTAACCCGACTACTTCCGATAAGGTTCGCGCGTCAGCCATTGCTGGTGCCCTGACTGGCTTCAATCTTGGGCTTTTATTTCGTGGCCCTCGGAATGTTATCCCAGGTACCATCATGTTCACCTTGTTTGGCTGGGGAGGTCAGCATGGGTACAACTATCTCGATGCCAGGAATTCTAGCGAACTCCTGGAACAGGCCGAGCTGAGAGCAAGGGGTGAAGACAAGCCCAAAGAAAACTTCATGCAAAAGATCGCAAAGAGCAAGTGGAGTCCCATGCAGGTCTTGACTGATGACGACTACGAGAACATGATGCAGGAAAAGCTTCTGCGGGTCGAAGCCCAGATTGCGGTAATCGACGACAAGATTGATGCATTTAGAAAGCAGGCGCTCGAGTTGGAAGCGCAGCGCAAGATAAAGGAGATGCAAGAGCAGGGTCAAAATTCCGAGTGAGAGCATAACTGATTGCCCATGAACGTTGTGGAATTGAGATCTGGATCACATTCTGTAAGATATTTCGCCTGTCTCTTTTATGTGGGAAACTCACGTGTCGATCTCTTTTCATTGCACAATAAGTGGTCTGTTTTGAAGGAGCAACAGCAGCATCGTTGTATGAAGCCACCTGCTAAGCAGTTTGCACAACCTATCTTATCCTATCAAAGATTGTCTCATTCGCCTTTCTCCTTGCTATCTTTGACTCCTGTTGACCAAAATCTTTAAGTGTAAGCTCTACAATCTGATTTCGCGTTTTGCTATGAATCGTCGTCTTTGACGTACGAAGAGAAGTCGTCCCTCCAAGTCAGGCTATATGCGAGCCTGATTACCCTAAAGGCTTTCTGGCTGATCTTGAGTACGTTAACAGTGCTCACGTATCGCCATGGCTATTTGAACAACCGTCGTAGCCTCAATACACTCTCGGAAACTACTCAATGGTAATATGCCCAAGTCTTGAGCCACCACCATCAAGCACCGCGGAAGCCTCACCCGGGCTCGTCATCACTCCCATCACCATCGTTCTCGCTTCGCGACAGCGCTTCGACCCTCCAGCATCGCACAAAGACTGGAATACCCAACTCCGCCGCAAGCTCAGGCTCCGTGCTCCCTTTCACCAAACCCGCCTTCACCCCGCCTTGAGTTTCATCCCACACTCCCAACCTTCTCTCCATATATAGGCAATCTAAATCCGCATTGTTCCATCAGCAAGCCACTTTGGCTGAGTTTCGCAAGGAACGACCAAGAAATGGAGTCCGCAACCACAATATTAACGACTCCAAGGAACCTTGGTTAATCGTTCCATACCGAAGCTCACCTAAGGTCGCTTGTTCGAGCTGCTCTGCCTCCAGTAACATCCAGACACTAGGTGGATACAACAGAGATTAATGTTTGGAAACGAAAAACAACCCTTCAATGGGTTAGTTAGACGTCGCCTTATCCCGCTCAATGGGATAAGGTGCTTTTTTGCTCCTATTCTTTATATGCAACTTATTTTTCTCTATGTGATTCTGCTCTATCCTATACAATTCTCTATTTAGCTAACCAAAGAATAAGAGCTACGCAAACTACTCTTATCCTATCCTTAGTACATATTTATGCCTGTAAGCACGATCATGCCTTCCTTGTACAGCTTCCCGCACCACAGGATATCACAAGCGATAGTTTGTTTAATTGTATAACAAGTTAATATACAATACTGACTAAACTCACAGTTTCTGTGACAACTGAAAAGAGAAAGGGAAGTGCAAAAAGGTGTTAGAGACAGATTCTCGCAAGCAGAAACGACTGTTTGAAGAAAGAACGGGACACAAAGATGCAGAGATGAATTATCTTGCGCCGCCACTTCGGGCCTTATTCTATGTTCTCCACTGTATCATCTACTGTTTGACATCGATCGGCTTACCGCCCTGTTCTCCACTCTTCAAACAACTCTCAAGAATCTCCAGATCTTTCAATGCCTCCTCAGGACTCTGCATCTCGTTCCTCTTTCCTTGTTCCAGGCTCTTCGCCCAGGCCTTGATTTCCTGGTTCACGCCGTTGCCTTCGTCTGGGAAGCCTCTTGTCTCCGGATCCTTCCCGTCTTTGGTGATGGTGACTTTGCCACGAGCACAGTGTACTGAGCCCTTTTCGCATGCAACGAGATATTCAGAGCCTGTGTCGGTCGTGCCGAAGGAGATAGACAGGGTACCAGACGAGCCATTGTCGAGCTGCATAGTGGCATTGAGAGTGTCAATTGGTGGAAGATGTTCCTGAAGCTGTGCTGTGAATGCGCTGACCCTCTTAATCTTCTGTTTACCACCTTGGAGCAGAAGACGAGTGGCAGCTACGAAATGCACGCCGCCGTCGAGCACGAAACCGCCTTGATAGTCCGGCTTCTTACGCCACTCCGTCTCATAGTACTTGCTACCTGCCTGTACCATAGCCGCAACGCGCACGCGGAAGGTAAGAATACGGCCCAGAGACGCAACCTGCTCTGAACCCCAAACGTAGGAGTCGATGAATCGGAAGTTTTCTGCCACGGTGTAGGTCGCAGAGGTATTAGAAGAGTTTTGGGTCCATGCGAGTAAATCTTGAGCAGTGGCTAGGTCCTTCGCTATAGGCTTCTCTGCGAACACATGTTTGCCTGCTGCGAGGGCTTTCTTGATGTAGTCTGGTTGGGCTAGGATTGGTAGTCTGAATTGTGCTGTGTAAGCAGATCAAGTTCTATGCTCCGACAAGTGGTATACGCACGCGATAACTACCCCTTTTACATCGTCCCTCTTCAGTAAATCTTCGAATTTCTTGCCATCTTGGTCATCGCTGTAGAGCTCCACGTCAGACAGCTTCTCGGACAGGGTTTCTGCCGATTTGAGTGATCGCGAGTAAACTGCTTTCAAACTCAATGATGGAGTATCTTGGATAGCGGGCAAGTGTTCTTCCTTGGCGAAGATGCCACTGCCGATGATAGCAATGCCGATGGCCATGATGTTGAGGACTCTGGGAGTTGATGGCACGGGGAGCTCTCAACGATTTCGAACAGCTCACCTTCCTCAACATATATCTTCCAGTGAACGGCTGTACTGCGGTTAAATGGCAATTGAAGTGGAGGATGTAGCGTTTTCTTCCAATAGCAACTACGCCATGACCCGTCGCGGGGTACATGTCGCTGCCCCACGATGGCGATGACGTCGGGCACCATACTGAATAGAGCCAAGGGCGATAGATCCACGGGTTCCCTACCTCGTCACATTCGACTTTCTCATCAACATCAACTTCTAACGACTTTCGAAGTGCGTTCGCCTAGGTTCGCAGCATGATCGGCGCGGTGTTAATGCAAGATACGTCACGCATTGGACACGCGATCATCACACATCTTGTCTTCGGCAGTTGACGCGAAACGCGTAGAGCTCTTTACCCACGCACGAACGCGCAAGCTATGCTGACAAAAGTTACAGGCTACCCTGAAATTATGAGGGTCTCCGTGATGTTTGTCAAGTATCTGCGCACTCCACTTACCGGCTGAGATGGACTGAACTCGTAACTTGGGGACAACTGTATCATTAATTCCGCGATCGAACACTCCGTACGTGCCACTGGATTCGCCTATCAAGCTCCAAGCTGCAATAAGATAAAGTGTCTTTAACACACCACAAGCTGGTGTGCTGCAAGTGGGTGGAAATGCTGGCCGCATTGCTTTTGACAGGATGTCGATGTTTCTAAAGTATCTTGCGGTGCTTAGCATGAGTCCACAAGCAACAAGCAGCGACTATGCTGTAAATATGCTCTTAGCCAAGTCCGATTACTATGTCCGGTACCCGATACCGTATTTTCGATTGTCCGTTGTGATTATCAACTGGTCTTTTGTATCGTCGGAAAGTTCCGACACACTGAAACATGCTGTGTTGGACATCGCGCTCGGCCAGGCCTGGTCATGCTTCGGCAGTCGCCCCATGTAAGGCGTTGATCAACAGGCATGGTTGGTATAGGGCTTTGTCCCGAGTGCTTCAGCGGGGTTTCGATAGTATCAGGCTACCCTTGATGCCTCTGATGTGGTGCCTGAGCGATGTGGTGATAAAAAGGTTGACCCAAAGGACTCCTCATCCAGAGCTGGCCTCATCATTCTACTGTCGCTTGCTATTCCCTGTACATTCTTCGTATTCTCTTCTTGAACGCAGCGCGTTCGACAAGACTGCCGGCAGTCTGTTACAATCTTTCGACTCTTATTGCTATTCTTACTCCTTCACACAAGCGATCATATTGTTACCAAGATGGGTTTCGGTATTCTGGAAGATCGCCACATGGCCGCACCTCCGGGTACGTCTACTATCAACGAGTCTGGGCCTTCTCTAGACTCTAAGATAGACTCGAGCGAACTCAAACGCGATGGCGACATTATTCTGCAGCCACAACCTTCAAGCAGCCCGAATGACCCGCTCAATTGGTCACCTAGAAGGAAAGAGTGTATAATGATTCTTCTCGCTTTTAGTTCAGGTGTCACTACATCCCTTGGACCGATGGTGACGCCTGCGCTTCCCCTCATTGCTATGAAATACAAGGTCAACATCGACATGGTAGCGAGTCTTGTCATCGGATTCCTTGCCTTCTGGATCGGGTTCACTACATTCTTCACAGCTGCTGGAGCCAATATCTGGGGCAAGCGTCCATTCTTCATCATATCCACCGTGATCCTTCTTGCAACAAATGTCTGGGGTTTTTTCACAAGGGTGCGTACTAGAAGACGAGCTAGATCGTTCTCCATTGACAAGTAGTAGTCCTTCATCTCTCTCGCTGTCATGCGAGTTGTTCAGGGTATCGCCTCAGCACCTCTCGAGACACTTGTTACCTCCACAGTCTCCGATATGTACTTCGTGCACCAACGCGGTACACGTATCGCAGTCTGGGGCTGTATGCTGGCTTCTGGCGTTCTTCTTGGGTATGTATATCTGTATCTCGTTCCTTGAGTGAATGTACTGATCCATAACCAGACAAACAATCGCCGGTGCCATCATCCAGAACATCTCTTTCGAAGCGACTTTTGGTATCTCCGCTTTGATATTTATCCCCATCTTGTTCGGCATGTACTTCTTCGTCGTTGAGACCACTTACTATGGCCCCCGGCCTACCATGGACAAGCTCGGAGTTGATGAGAAACACAAGTCTGTTTTCGAGCTCGAAGACGACAGGGAGCCTTATAGAAGCCAGCTGGCAATTTTCCGTGGCCGCTTATCACAAGAGTCGTTCTGGAAGAACGCCTGGAAGCCAGTGCCACTTATTGCTTTCCCGGCAGTACTCTTCAGTACAATCGTTTACGGATCTTACTTTGTATGTCAAGTTTTCAGATTGCTCGCAAAGCATGTACTGATTCTGTTCTCAGACCTGGCTGCTTACTATCTCCGTCCTCTCCGTCAATATCTTCTCTGCACCACCGTACTCGCTGAACCCGGCACAAGTCGGTCTTACTAACCTGCCTCTCCTTGTCGTCGCACTGATCGGCTCACCTCTCTCTGGCTGGACAGCCGACGCCCTTGCCAAATTCATGGCACGTCGCAATCACGGCGTTTTCGAACCGGAATTTCGTCTGACGCTTATGATCCCCGCGACCATCTTCGCTACCATTGGCTTTCTGGGCTTCGGCATGAGCGTCTCAGCTGGCTATCCCATTGTCTGGCCCTTGGTCTTCATGTCCATCCACTCGCTTTCCGTACCGTTCGCCTCAACAGCCAGTCTGACCTATGTAATCGATTGCCATCCCAAAGACGCGAACCAGGCTTTTGTGACAATCAATTTTACAAAAGCAGTGTTTACTTTCATTGCGACAACATATGCTAACGGCATCATGGCGAATATTGGGCCTCGCGCCGTCTTCGACGGAATCACCGTTATCAATCTGGGGATCTGCGCGCTTACCATTCCAGCGTACATATTCGGAAAGAGGTTTAGAAGTTTGGTTGCGCGAAGCTCGTTTGGTAAGAAGCTATCAGGCTAGAGGTTGGGAGGCGTGAGTCATTACTATGACGACGGAGACATGGCTCTGAAGAGATGGCTATGCAAGGCGCATATTTATGGATACCCACAGTCGTTATAGGCTTGAAAATTACATTCGCGATGAGTTACGATATGAAGGCTAAGCTCCATACCACCTGGGCATGTTAAGCCATGATGAGTCGATCAAAGAACAAGACAGGTGATGAGGATACGTGTCGAGACCTGAGAGATTCATGGTGTACTTCCACCTAGTGTGTATCAAAGAGAGCTACACGCTGTAATGACAAAACAACAGTAGATGAATATCTTGAATTGAAGGAGACTCGTGGGTATCGTTGATCTATAACAATGGGCATCACCCTGTGGCGCCCAAAACGCCGTTTACGACTTTTGCAGTACTTTTCGCAACCATCTCAGATATCTCCTGTCGCGAACGGATGCGCACAAACTGCGTCGCATGATGTTCTAGCACGAAATTTCTGCCTCTAAGATGCCTCTAAATAACATCGCTGTCTTCCTCGTCGCGCAACTGACAACCGGTGTCATAATGCGCGGCACACACCCCTCCGGTCAGGTTTCAGCAAACTTCATCTGCATGATGCATGCGAAGCTGGCATCTCAGCGAATGCGCTGAGCTTGACTTGGTGATTCGTAGATATGGTGCACTAGCACAGCCTTTGTTTACCCGGAAAGGACAATACATTGATGCGCATCAGTTTGTCACTCTCCGTGCACTGCCTTGAGCCTCTCTAGCACTGGGTCTTTGCGATAACATCTGCGCCATGGACTGTGAAGCATTCGAGGAGGAGGTCGTGTATCGCGGGCTCAACGGTGACGTTAGACTGGCTCTCCTCGATGTCGAAATGGTGATGGGCGATGGCGTAGATGCAGCGTTCTTAAGGAAAACACGCGCAGGTGGGAATTGGCTGACTGGCGGCATTGTGGTTGTGTAGGTAAAGTTGTTGGTTGACTTGTTCGTATAGTATCGACTGTTAGACGACGAATATAGGTGGTGACAGTATTAGGGTGTTAGAAGCGAGGCTTGTTGATCGATGTCGATGATATAGTAGTAAGACGTAGAGTTATACGGTCTTTGATGCCTCCTTCTAGTTGATGGATCGTCCGTTAAAAGCCTCATTACCAGCAGCTGCCGACCATCTTATATCCCTCACCCAGCCCAATTTGACTCACCTTGCTAGACCCAAACTAAGCCTCTACCCTCGGAGTCACAAGCAAGTCGCCCAACCCACCCATCCACGCAACCATCTAGCGCGCGTGCCCCAAACTCCGCCCGCGCCATGACATGTGAAGCCTTTTCCGTTTCGAGCCAAGATCACCCCACGACATCGTGAGCATCACGTCTTGCACATGCGGATCCGGACCCCATCGGCGGATAATTCTCGTTGGACAGAGACAAATACGATCAAGGCAGTCTAAACGTTATGCACGCGATCGTGGGTTACTCCACGCCCAGTAGCTCCCGTTACCCCGGATGGTTTTCCGTGTGCGACTACTGTGCAACAGTCACTGCGAGCCGACCCTCCACTCCAAACGACCGGAAAAGCAAAAAAGGAAAAGGCCCGAGATTCGCAGTCGCATGCACATGTTGTGCATGTACCTGTAGCTTACGCACCTACACATGTCGAGCAGCAGCCAAGGCGCCCAGGTGTGTGGTGGCAGTTGATGCGTGTTTGAACTTCGTATGGTAATGGTGTGCGTGCTTGTTTGGAGACGGAAGGCTGCGACACGTCATGCACGCAGCCTAAAGTGCGGGGTGGGCTTCCGCTGGGCTCTTGTAAAACAATGTGCTAGGTTGAATGGCTTCTAGTAGGCTTCCACCCAGAGTCTCGTGAACTTCAGCCTAAGACGGAGGATATGATGCAAGGTAGATCTCCGAGGTCGGGGAAATATCTATCTATCTCGATACGAGAGATGCTATTATGAGCTGAGTAAGTTCTCAAATTACATGCAGGACACATGCGACGAGATCGCGATGCGGGGCAGCTGTTAGATCACAAACAGGCTGAGCGAACGGTGTGGGATCTGCTCTACAACATTCCTTTTGCGCCTTGCACTAGCGTGGAGATAGAGAGGCGTAGGTCACGGCGCAATACATGTGTACTGCGGATGCAACTGCAGAGCAATGCATATGAGAAGCGAGTGTTGCGTCCGCGGGTATGAGGGCGCGAGAGTTACCTGTGAGCTCAGCGTCTCGTCATTCTTGCGGTGTAGCAGGTGTTTTGCTGGCTGCATCCACGACGCATGCTGAAGTGTATGGTGAACGATTCGATGTCAGAAGAATAGTGACATTTCTTTTTCCTAGTATACAAGATCGGCCAACTTTTAGACGTCGCAATATAGTACATCCAAATCGTTATCCAAGCCTCCTGCGTACAACACAGTGACGTATCTTCCAACGTCCAACTGCGTTCGAGTCTAGGATATGCAAGCATACCCACATCCCGCGCATGCTAACATGTTGTTCATATTACCCAGTTGTCCCAACAGATTTGACCTTGAACTCAGGGTGTCTAAGCTCGGGGCTTCGCACCGCTGCGGACGCGCTTGGCTTCTGGGCGCTGGAGGTGGGAGGCGGGGATCCAGCTCTCATCGTAGGCCTTTGCACCTGAAGTAACAGCGGGGCCATCAGCGCCGACGACAGCAACCTGGTCGGCGGGATCGACCTTCTTGCTCTGGCCTGAGGACATCTTAGCGCGCTCGCCACCCTTGCCGCGGCCCTTCTTCTGGGGAAAGAAGGTAGAGATCCAGGTGTTGTAGACAAAGTAGACAGTTCCACCGAACGCGCCGAGGAGAACGAGGTATAGGAAGATACTGGAGCAAAGAAGTAAGTACACGTTCTGAAAATAACAGGGCGCTCCACGAGCGTGCGCAGGGTAAAGGGTGCCTTGGTACATACATCTGAGGGTCAAAGAAGCTGGTAGGTGCCTCAACAATGCTGACAGTCTCGTTGTAGACCGGAACGGTGATGAGGTTATTCTTGCTATCCTTCAGCACAGTCACGAGCTGAAGACGAAGGTTCTGAGGGTGCATTTCTGTCGTGAAGCTGTAAGGAATTGTCTCGTTGGCGCCAGCAGGAATTTGGATCGAGTAGCGCTGGCGGGTGAGGTTGCGAAGGATCTGGGATTGTCCTGCAACTTCCTGGATCAGCGAGCCACCGACAATGGTGACGCCGACAGGAGCGGGCTCATTGTTGACCACGGACAGACGCGCCTGCGTGGGCTGGCCGTTGATGAGCTTGACGCCAAAGATCTCAGACTGGGGGAAGGACACGGAGACGGCGACATTGAGGTTGGGAGTTTGAGGCTCGTCGACTGCTTGCTTCTCAGCCTGAGAGTACAACTGTTAGCCATCTGATGTCATGCTGCGTCAGGAAGTTCCGAGCTTACTGCGGGCTCAGCAACGGTGCCGAGAGCTCGTAGGGAGAGCAAGAGTAGAGATGAAAACTTCCAATTGACCATGATGAAGGCGAACCAAGACGATGAGATGGGAGAAGAAGAGGAGAGAGGGCGTGTGGGAACAGATGGGGTAATTCGAACGTGGCTTCTGGGAAGTGACGTCCGGGCGCAGCTTCCTCTTGGCGTCGGAGCACGGAACCAGGGCCGCGGCAATGCGAACCTATTCTCCAGGGACGCCTCGCCTTCACCACCTCACGCGACAGTCTGATGTTGCCAACTCCCTGTGTGCTGCATCTTGTTGCGTACTGCTATTTGTATGACCATGATCTATTGCTTCACTGCTCTCCCTGGCCGCCTCTCCCAATATAGACTCGTCCAATTCTACGCGCTGGGTCGTGTTACACATGGCATGGCATCCACGCCGCAATTGTGGCTCGTTCAATTACAAAGGCAGCAGCGACCATTCATCTGCAGCTTGATATGCTTATTTGCTCTGATCGCATATACGCCGCTCCGCGTCGAGTAGCCTCCCGCCGGCATTGCCCATTGCACCTGTTTGCATTGCACTATAAAATGGCAGACTGACATTTTCTCTCGTCTTCATTGCCTCAGGTCATCGTACAGTAACTCACCGTCACCAACGGTTGCCTATTTGAGCCTGGCACTTTCCCTGTGAACCCTGGAAGGAGCGCTCAACTGTTCCCACAACCTCTTCTTTCTCACTCTAATTCCTCTCCTCTCGCCCATTATACGCGAGAGCCTCCATCAGCTCTGCCCTACAAAGCTTTCGCTCAATCCGGTGCCTTTCTTCTGAGCACTCACCTGTCGCTATTAGCTCAAGTTTGCCCGCTTGCGTTCCGAGATGCCGCCTTCGCTCAATGGCCATGGGCCTGCTAGCCCTGCTTCATTTGGCTTCTCAGACGCTGACCTAACAGCCTTCACCAGGCGTTTCGAGCATTTTCAACAGTTTGAAGAGGAAAAGACGCAGTTTTTGGCAGTAGGTTTGACAGGAAATACGTCTGTCCACCCGAGGTGAACTGACTCACCCTAAAGGAGATTGTTACTCGTTACGAATACATTTATCAGCAGTACCAGGCATTAGCAATCGAACGCGAACGCGACCGCGTATGGGTTACTGCATGGAAAAACGAGAAGGTGCAGTACGAAAAGAAGCACAATCACATGCTGCGAGAGATGGTAATTCCACCCCAATACACATCCTCGACAACGACTCCAGCAGCAAGCGAGGCAACTGGCTACTTGAGTTTGGAGAAGAAGCTGAAACTAAGTACCTAGTCCGATAACCCATTCGTCACAGTACTCATTGACGGCGATGGCATGATTGTAGGGCTCTTCGGCCTGCGCTTTGATGACGGGTTTGCTAACCAAAAGCCTAGTTTTGTGACAAATATCTTGGTGACGGTGAACAAGGTGGCCGTCGCGCTGCTTTAGATCTCTCCGCTGCCGTCCAGGAATACGTTGACAACGACTGTAACGATATCCCCTACGGAGCCCGTATCGTCTGCCGCATCTATGCGAACGTGCGGGGCCTCGGCGACGTGCTTGTACGCAAAGGAGTCTACCAAGATCCCTCGGAGTTTGAAAAGTTTGTGCGCGGCTTTACACGGGGCAAAACGCTGTTTGACTTCATCGATGTTGGCGCGGGAAAAGACCGTGCTGACGAAAAGATCATAGGTGAGAGACTCCGAAGTTGCTGCTCTCAATAAATCTTAGCAAAACCTCCAGCCCATACTAACCTTCGCAGAATCATGCAAGCTATACAGCCATGACTATCATTGCCGTCGGATTCTCTTCGGTTGCTCGCACGACAACGGTTACGCGCGGATGCTAGAGGAATGCTCTGATCGTCCTGAGCTGGTCAATAAGATCATTCTTCTTGAAGGCGTCCCGTTTGAGAAGGAGCTCGTGAATTTGCCATATGACACGAAGAAATTTCCTGGGATCTTCCGCGATACAAAGATCGTGTTTTGGGGGGCTCCTATATATAGTGGCGGTCTTCCACCAGCATTTGTTCCTGCCCGCAGGGTCGATTCGAATGACAGCTCGAAGGCATCTGTATCATCGACAGGCCTCCCTAGCCGGTTCCCATCTCCAGCAAAATCTCCAGTCATGGATAGCCCTCTGCCGAGCCGGGCTACGATGATGGGACTGCCTAGAACGCCATCAACATCGACACTGGCCTCGGACGGCATGGTTGCAGCAACCAAGCCAGTGCTGCCGATGAATTGGGCTGCCAAGGTCGCTGCTTCACCGCCTCCTGTCAACCACTCGTCTCCCACATACAAGCCGGCTAATCGCGAGGAAGTCATCGCTCGCAATCGCGCCGGTCAACGAATCGACCCACCATGTAAGGACTACGACAAGATCGAAGTGGACCGCGTCAAGAAGATAAAGATGTGCAACGTCCATTTCCTCCGGAACGAGTGCCCTTACGAAAAGAACTGCACGCACCTCCACGCCTACAAGCCCACTGAAAGCGAGGTGGCTACCCTCCGTCTCGTCGCTCGCATGGCACCTTGCAGCAACGGTAGCGGTTGCCAGGTAAGTTGGGGCTGTACAAAATGCATGTGAGATATGCAACTGACCTTGTGTTTTCACCTCTACAGGATATTAGGTGTATCTATGGCCACTGTTGCCCGGCGCCCCACAAAACCCATCATATCAAGGGCACGAAGAACTGCATTTTCGGCGACTCGTGCAAGTTCCCGATTGAGCTGCACGACATCGACACCAACGTGGTCAAGACGCTGGTTATTCGCTAGGATGAGCATGGTAAGATTCGATGTCTGGGGGACAGAATGATGAAATCGAATTGTCGTAGATAAGCACGCAAACGGGAGATACGTAGCAGAAGTTCGGATCTAGGAATATCTCATGGGATTCGGTAGACTAGGAAACCATGATTATGCTAACTGACACGTACGTTCAACGACCCTACAAGTGTGAGATCTGAAGTGTGTTTTTTACGATATGGTTCTGAAAAGCACAATCTGGGGGGGTTAGAACGCCCAATGCACATGTACAAGTGTCAAGAGACACTCGTAGAGGCGTCGATTGCATATTGCACATTGGCATTTACCAATACGACAAGGATCTAGTCTCTAGATGTATCTTAGAAGATGAGCACAAGTACATGCTCATTCCCTCTTCCAGTCCTCAAACTCCTCATTCAGGTGTTGTTTCAGCGCTGTAAACTTGTTCTTGAAGTTCTTAGAACATCGCCAGCACTTCATATCCCAGCTGGGCCAGTCACCAGGTGCAAACCTCTCGCTTCCTTCCTCTAGTGGAAACTCGTCTAATCGAACAAGGAAACTAGAATTGAAGCTCAAGTAGTGCTTCTTATGTTTCATCCAGTCTGAATGCATGTCTCGACTGAAGATATGAATGTGCAGGTGATTCATCGAGGGATGGGTGTGCACGCCTACGACGATGTCTTTTGACCAGTCCCGACCGGGTGGGAGGAGGGAAGCTTGTTCTTCCACTGGTGGTGGGTTGCGAGAGCACATCATTTCTTCCAGAGCCTCGTTGTAGGGTTTGTCCGTGGTGCTAACGTCGCCATACTGACGTCGGAGTTCGTAGGCAGCGAGATCCTTGAGTCGGATGACGCGTTTCTCTACTTCGGCAAGGAAGGCGGCGTCTGTGGACAGCGCGTGGAGAGGATGTTGATCGTAATATTTGGGTTTTCGTGGAATGAGTAGGAGGTGTACACTGAGATACTGTCAGCGCACTGGTTGCTTTGGCCTTGTACTGCATGGATACTCACCTCGCTTTTGGGTACTTGTCTGTTATCACGACAAAGTCCTCATCGTACTCTAGTACTTTGTTCTCCGGGTTGGTCTCGGGACTCTCGATGTATACGCCCAATCCATTCCGCGGGTCCCAGCGCTTGACTGTCTTCGTAGCCTTCTCTACAAGGCCTGGACCGTCTGCGGCGGGTATGGTAGGTGGCTTTGGTTTTTTCGTCTGTGACATAAGTTCTGTAACTGCACCGTGAGTTAAGGTTGCGCTATGGGTTGAAAAACATGGGGTACGATGTACATGCATTGGGGCGCTTCGACGAGCCGGGAGCGACTGCAGGTTGAGGTTGGTTCGGCGTCTCAGCGCCTGCTATCTCTTCCTTTGTCATTGCATCGTGGGTATGCTTCGCGGCAGCCTGGTTGGTCATTGCTGACCCGATGCGACTTCTCAGAGTGTGCGAGGATCTGATGTGCTTATATCGAACTTGTATGCAAGGAACGCGAAACACGAAGGCCGAATTGAAGCCCGAAGCGAGTTGGCGCATCGATACCGACGAGTGAGCGCAACGTGACGATGACGATGAGGCTCTGATGCGATGGTCCAAGCGTACCGAGGCATCCCTGCAATCATCGGAATTTCGGATTGCGCATCGCATTCGAGGGAAAGGTCCAAGAGCTCACGATGGCTATCATTACAGCTTCTGTTTTCGCGGTTGAATACCCCAAAGAGTGGTGGATTATCACACATAGTGGCTAAGCCCTTTTATTACAGACGGCGCCCTTTTCACCGCCCACAGGCAAAACGGATAATCCAATCTTTACCCTTCCGAGTCCAGCATACCTCTATGGACGCTGAGGGATCTGGTCGCTTTATACATATCGTGAGAGATGCCAAAGAACGCCCATCCACCCCGTGGCAAGCCTGCCAAGAAGACTGTACCTCCTGAGGAAGACACATCGTTCATCGTCTTTGGGGACGGCAAAGCCAAGAAGAAGAAGGGGGAGAGTTCTGGGGGTGATGCTGGCCAGAACGAAGGCAAGGGCAAAGGAAAGGCTGCTGCTGGAGCCGCCGAAGATGGACCAAAGAAGCCGGATACGAGGACTTTGATCGCAGGCGCATCGTGGACAGGAAAGCTCCCAGTCAATCTGCTGTCGGAACATTTTCAGAAGCAGCAGTGGAGCAAACCTGACTACCGTATCGTGAGTTGCGGTGTCAAATTAGTAGCAGGGCATCACTGATATTCGGCAGCGCAAAGATGGTGACCAGCATTTCGCGTATGCTGTGGTACTGTCCAAGATGAATCA